TATCAACTCAAATTTCTAAAATTTTTAAATTCTAGAGAACTTATATCTAAAATTATCAAATTTAACATATTACATTATGATTTGTGATATTTATTTTTAATAAAAAATTTTATACAAACCTAACTTATTTATCTTCTAAGACATATAGTGCGGTACACACATACAGTAGTACACGAATAGTCTGTATTGGATATTGATACCGTGATATAGAGACATAAATTTATGTAACATGGTGCGATTTGATTTCATAATTGTTTTCATGTTTGATCAGGATTGCAGTAAATCAAATTACAAACTTGTGTTCTTATACTAACATTCTTCAAAACATTAAGTACTACAATGTTGTATTTGAACAAAACAAAAGAATTAACTTAGAAAATTTTCTAAAATTTATTAAATTTATTTATTGCCTAAATTTTTTATATTATCAAAATATTTAAAACCAAATTTTACCGGTCCTTGATTTATGGTAGAATACGATATTCGTAATTCGTTATCCAAAGTATCCGATCTGAATTTATCCCGATGTCCATTTACTATTGATTTCCGAATAATTATCCGATAATCTGTCAGATTATCCGAATATTTGATCTGTTTATTCGATCTGAATGATCCGGATAATTCAGATATGGATAAATGGATGACGGATTTATCCGGATTGGAACTCGGATTGGTTGATGTAGAATTCAAGAATGAAATGTTAGCTTTTTTGTTGATGAAAGATTCAATAATGGAAATAAAAAAACTAGTGATAAATATAGAGATACTTTATTGCTTTTTAGAGAAACTGACGCAATTGTGAATGCGTTTTGTTATCTAATTCATGATGTTGATAAATATCAGAATATAAAAGAAAAATGATAATTAAAGAGGTTTATATAGTAGGTTCTATTGTAGGATATGCATTTCTATTTTGGATTGTAAATGGAGATCAGGATAATGATTTAAAAATTTGGGTTAATTTTAATATTTTGATTCCCAGGCTGCTTATCTATGTCTATAGTTAAAATGATTCGAAAAGTAAAGTTAAAATGATTCAAAAAGTAATAGTTAAAATGATTCAAAAAGTAATAGTTGAAATGATTCAAAAAGCAATAGTTAAAATGATTCAAAATGAATAGTTAAATTACTTGGAAAAAGATATTTTGAGTAGTTTCTTGAATGGTATTGACTGTTGATAATTAAATAATTAAATAACTTAGATTACAATCATGTTGATTTTTTAAAAAATAAATGGTTTTTTCTTTATCTTACCTCGTAGTTCACGATTATTATTTGTCCGTTGAGTTTTCGGCCCTCGTTTCTTTCTATTTTCATTATATACACATTGTAAATTATTTTCACAGCAATAAGCACAGACGCGTCCTCCGCTACATTTTTTATGTTTATCTCTACAATTTTCACACGCAATGCGTATATAAGGTCCTCTTGAGGTCGATAATTGAGTCATTGAGTAGTCTCAGAAACTTGACGGGAGAGGGCTAAATAATCGAATAGTCGTAAAGCAATATAAAGAAACAAATATTTTTATTTATTATTTTGAAGTTCACTGTTATAGAATTTCTTCAACCCCAAATAAAGGCATACACAAATACGGTTTAAATTAATTACAGATTAAATATATACCTTAATATATATTTCTCAATAAACTGGAACAAGGGTCTTTGTTATTAATATTGAAGGTAAAAACACAAAGTCGGCAAAAACATTATCCGAAAAAGCCTGTATTTATCAATCTTGTCAGCTAAATTAAAATAAGAGCCTGTACGTAAAGTAATAAAAATAGAGTTTCTCAAAGATTTGTATATTACGGAACATATGCTTAAAATTGGGTTTGTAATTAAATCTATACAATATGTCTAATATAAATATGACTAATTTAAATGTTTTGAATGGGATGTAATATATTCGGATGAATATATATTATTAATACTGCGTAAATCACGAGATTTTTTGCAACCTACTAAGTAAATTCAGTCTGGATATAAATGTTTAATTTATTTGTGTAGTGGTGATGATATATGATCAGAATGTATCAGCTATAAAAAGATGTAAAGATTAAGTCCCGATTTTTATTATTTTATTGATTGAACCTGAAAACAAGCTGCCTTTATAAATAGGAACTATTTATTTTCCTGGTAATTGCAATACGGGAGTTTTAAAGGTGTAAAATTAAAAAATTTACTTCGATTATCTAGTGTGAAACATAATACAATTGTAACTCAATTTTATAAAAGTCGATTTGCGATAAGCTTATTATATAGGGAAATTTACCAAAATAGTAATACGGATATTCATATTATCATTGAGGTTACATTTCTTCCTCATCATTTATCGTCATTTACTTTGAAAATTTTAAGTCTCAATTACATTACGTAACACCAAAAATATACAGAGTACCACCATGCACGATAGAATAATCTATATAGAATATTATCACAATGGACATGCTAAAAAACTAATTGAGAATACCATAATTAGAAAAATAACCCAACTTTTTATTTATTCCTTAAAAGATCTACGTAACTACCATATATAACAATAGTGATAGTAACTTCTACGTATGTACTATACCCAGCTGCGAATTTCGCATGCCATCGATGAGAACTATGCATGCCCTTTAAAAATTTCCTTTTAATGATATTAACTCTTCATGTATGTACGTACGTACGTACGTACCTACTATACCCGGGTTCTAACATTGGTGGAACATAAGCGACAAGATCTTTTATACGGTAACCACCGCCGCAACCCATAAGAAATTCAGAACACAGTAAACGCGGATATAGTGATAGCTTTGTTAAAAGCATTCGAAATTTTAGGTTTACTCAGGGTTGTCAGGTGGTAAATTACCGTCGGTAAATTACGGTAATTTACCAGGTAATTTACCGAAAGTGTGGTAAATTTACCTTATATACATAGATCTATCTGCAAATTATATAATTTGATTGGCTAAAAAAATTTTTAGCCATTAAATCACATGATTTATGTTGCACAAACTTTGTTATTCAAAATAACTAAAGGTAAATTTACGGGTAATTTACCGAATAGCTCAGGTAATTTACCA